ATAACAATAAAATATAAATGCAGTTAATGAAATTTAAATTTAAATCCAAATTATCAAGAAAAATAAAATGTTTAATTCAAAACTACTTCCAACAGTAAATATAAGTATATTAAAGTATATAAATTAAAAAAAAAGTTATTATATTATAATAATGATAACTCAATCATCCCAATCGTCATCACCTTCACTGGAGTCACTGGTACTACTGTCACTGTGAATAACTCTAGCTCGTTCAGCTAAAGCTCTAGCTAATGCCCCAGCTAAACCATCACTTTCTAAATTGTTATTACTTTTCTTTTCAATTGGTTGTACCTATTAAATATAATAAATATAAATATTATCTCTTAAAAAAAAAACTTAAAGTAATACCGATTTTAATTCCACGCCTTGTCTTATTTGATCAAGTAAATTATTTCTTGAATTGGGTTCTGCGGTGTTAGGCACTTTTATAGAATTTGATGTATCAACATGCTAAAGAACATAATTAAATTACTTCAATTTATATTTACATTATCTTATTTATTTCATAAAAAAGTAGTAAGACATACCTTGAGTGTTTTACCAGATCTGATGGCTTCTAAAAGTGCAGATCTAGTGTCTGGTACAGCTTCGGCAGGCTTACTCTTGGCTAATTCCATTTGTGGAGGGGGTGGTGGTGGTGGAGCTGCATTCATTAATGGCGGAGGTGGAGGAATAAAACATTCTTCTAAAATATAAACGTTTTGAAATTTGTATCAAAAATATGTAATTAAAGGCTGTAATTTAAGGAATTTGAGAGTTATGGCAGAGCGATGCCTTGGTCTTAATGTGAAAGTACAGTGTGTGGATTTTGATTTGTTTATCTTCAATTTTCAATTTTGGGGGTAGAGTTTAGTTGAAATTTATAGAGATCAAAATTAAAAATTACCAGTATTTTTCATAATAATTGGGAAAAAGAACATTTTTATCCAAAAGCAGTTTTTGATAAAATCTTGTGTTTTTGTGTAACTTAAAAATGAATAACTATAGAAACTTTAAATTTTCAAAAAATGTTTAAGTAATCGTTTTTAATACATGGTATAATTTTTTCATTACTAATGTTGATAAAAAATGTTAGTTTCTTCAAAATGATTGAAAGTTAATACAATGATCCTTTAAAGTTTATATTATAACCATTTAAAAATATTAAAGATACATATAGAAGAACATGTATTCACATTTATTGTTTGGATTTATAATTTGTATATGCATTTTAAGTTTTAATTTTGATGAAATTGCTAAAAGTTGAAAATTGTTTTGTTTTTATATACGTGTATGTATAAAATTTTCAATTTTCACAGTTATGATTTGAWAGTATAATAAAAAAAGTTAAAACCAAAAATTCTAAAAAACATACACTCAAATTTTGACAAAATTACTTATTTAAAAGGTTATCATTGATTTCAAATTTAACACATCCATTACAGTGACAACTTACACCTAATAAATTGTAGTAGTAGCCACTTCCAACTTAATTTTTTTTACAATATTATTTATTGTGCTTAAATTTTTATTTTATACTATATAAATAGTAATGTTTATTACCCACCTTGTTTTTTAACTGGAATAGTCACATTGTTTGGCCGAGGGGGTGGTGGTGCTGGGCTTCTGGTATTTGCTGTATTATTGGAAACAGGTGGAGGTGGAGGTGGAGCTTGACGAAATCTTGTTGGCAAAGGAGGCGGAATAAGCGAATCTTGAACATCTTCTTTAATAGCATCCATACCACCATGTTTATCAATAAAATCATAAATAAAATCTCGAGTCTGAGGATTACGTAGTTGACTTTCTGAAACCCCAGCCTGTTGCAAAAAA